AGATGATAGATAGACAGATAGACAGATGGACAGACGGATGGATGAATGGATGGGTGGATGGGTGGATAGGTGGAAATGATGATAGATGATTGATAGATGATAGATACAGATTGATAGATAGATAAATGATAGATGATTGATAGATGATACATAATGATGGTGATGATGAAGGATAGATGATAGATAGATAGATAGATAGATAGATAGATAGATAGATAGATAGATAGATAGATAGATAGATAGATAGATGCTGGATGCTAGATAAATAGATGATAGGTGCAGATGATTGGTAGATAAAAGGATTGATAGTTGATAGATACAGATGATTGATAGATAAATGCTAAATGATTTCCCAGAAGATGAAGATGATGAAGATGAATAGATAGACTAAATTGGTTGCCTACAGATGAACCCATATTCAGAAATATTAATTGTGTATAGAGCGACAGACAATTAAGGCCCTCTGTGAATTTCAGCTCATTTGGATTATATTTATCCTAGTTCTTGAGAAGTATTATCGTGGCTGACCACATGTAGCTGAAAATGTCAATGTATTGTATAGAACAAAACCATAATTAGGGAAATCAAATTTTCCCAAAGGACAAAGACACCAGTGTGTTATCTGAGGCCCGCTGAAAGACTGAATAATCTGAGGTTTGATTTCCTTCCTTCCTCCCTCCCTCCTTTCATTTTCCAGAGGGAAAAGTATATTTAAATGCTTTCAAGTGCAAAATATCAGAAGCTGATATCCTGGGAAATCAGCTTTCTCCAATCTTCCACTTTGCAGATTTTGGGGTTGTAGCTCCCATCATAGCCAGCCAGAACTAAAGAATATTATGAAAGTACCCATAGAACAGAATTATTTGTAGCTCAGACCTCACAGTAGAATGAAAGGTTTGTAATCGGGCATATCTGAAAGGCATCAGATTGAGTAAAGTTGCTTGTAATTTACTAGCTTTATGCATTTTCTGCTCCCTTCTCCATTCACACAACCTTCCCCTTCTGAAATACTTACAATATTGATGATGGCTCCCAAGAAATTAATCATAATTGAGGCAAAGATGATGACATTACGGGCCAGGTAAGTCTCATTAATCCAGCAGCAAGTTTTCCGGAGCACCAGGGGTAAGCATTTGTAATCCTCGGCCGTGGTTATCAGCACGAGAGATGAATGTAATATAATTAGAATTGAAAATTGAACAATCATCGGAATCATTCTGCAGAAGGAAGAACAGACACACACATACTTAGAAGACAGAAAAAGCAGCCCTCTCCTGCATTTATAGGAAGAGTAAAATCTAATGTTTCAGGGCTTCATTAAATCTTCTAATTTCATCTTCTCAAGTCAGCTCATTGTGGAGAACCCTGGTGGTCAATAGGAGTTGGCATCAACTTAATGGCACTTACTCAATTCCTTTTTATTCTTGTGCATGTCCGTGCAATATACTTGTAGATGTAGGAGAGGAGCAGGCAGAGCTGGGAGGTGGAGTTAAGTGTGTGATCAGCTTAGAGTCATTACGTTGCCACAAACTTTCCAATTTCAACTCCCCTTGAATCCCATGGACCTGTAGCTAGTGCCAATTTAGTACTGAACTTTAGCTTACTAGATTCTTACGTATAAGCCTCAGCAATAAATCTTAACCTATGTTCTGATCCTTTATGCCCGAATGCAGAGGACCTATGGAAATAAAACCTGTTCTTATATGACAGGGTGAGTAAAACAGTGCTTCTCTAAGAAAAGAGCTATTTAAAATGAACTATACGCACAAAGAGATATACCACCAAGATAAACACAATACTGCTTTGGAACTAAGAATCATGGTTGGTGGCAGTGGTGGGTTTAAAAAATCATTGGAACCTACTCTGTGGGTGTGGCCTCCTTTGTGGGAGTGGCTTGCTGCCCATGTGACCTGATGGGAGTGGCTTGCTGCCCATGTGACCAGATATGANCGGCTCAGGGATTCCCCCCTATAAATTCAAGGATCTGTTTTAGGGTACAATGACAGAATGTTCATAGCCTGATAGAGATTCTCTTTTCCTCCCCTGCATCAATACAGGCCAGTTTTGAATTTCTTCTTCAACCTTTCCTGACTTTCTGGGTGAAGCTGATGTTTTGGCAAAGGATAGCAATAGCAATAGTTAGACTTATATACCGCTTCATAGGGCTTTCAGCCCTCTCTAAGCGGTTTACAGAGTCAGCATATCACCCCCAAAAACAATCTGTGTCCTCATTTTACCCACCTCGGAAGGATGGAAGGCTGAGTCAACCTCGAGCCTGGTGGGATTTGAACAGCCGAACTGCTGAACTGCCATATACCTTCCTCAAAGGCTCTATCTAGCTTAGCTTTTTTTGCCACGTCCATCACTAGAACCCAGCTCTTACGTACTTCATTATCTCGGTCTTTTTCCAGGAAGTGACGGGCCACATGGCTTGGCAGGATATTGCGTAGCATGTTTTCATTGTGCTCTCTTAACTCCTTCATCTCGTTGATTTCTTCTTTGGCCTGGCCACGCCACAGAAAGTCGAGCCTCGCTGTGTATTCAAGCTGCAAAGACAAGAAGGCCTCTTAGCGTCTTTTTTAATTGAACATGTGGTCCATCCTTAAGAATAAGCATCTAACAGAAGAGTGGGTAGATATTAAATCAATTCTAGGGTGACCCAGTAGAGAAGCACCAACTTCCAGCTTAGAAACAGTCTGGCAGTTAATGAAATTTGGTTCAGAGATGTTCAAACTAGACTGATGGGGATAGTTTGTAGACTTCAAGGTTTACTGTTTTCAAGGATAAACACAGATCTAGTACATTGCAGGGTAAGAGAAGATCAGAGAGAGTTGGGTGTTGGAGTGAAGTGCATCATCAGCCTAGAGGTGTTACATTGCCACAAATGCTCCTTGAATTTTGTTGACTTTTATCTGATGCCAATTTGGCATGGAACTTTAGTTGACTAAAGGTAAAGTTTCCCCTCGCACATATGTGCTAGTCGTTCCTGACTCTAGGGGGTGGTGCTCATCTCCGTTTCAAAACCGAAGAGCTAGCGCTGTCCGAAGACCTCTCCATGGTCATGTGACTGGCATGACTAAACGGCAAAGGTGCATGGAATGCTGTTACCTTCCCACCAAAGGTGGTCCCTATTTTTCTCCTTGCATTTTTTATGTGTTTTCAAATTGCTAGGTTGGCAGAAGCTGGGACAAGTAATGGGAGCTCACTCCGTTATGCGGCGCTAGGGATTTGAACCACTGCCGACATTTCTGATTGACAAGCTCAGCATCTTAGCCACTGAGCCACCCTTCTTAGTGACTAGATCTTGTTTATAGGCTTGAGCAATGAACCTTGCTGAATTACCACTTAATGTATGGTCCTGATCCTTTGTGCCTGATATGAATCTAAACATTTGGGGTCCTCAAAATAATACAATAGCAGAGTTGGAAGGGACCTTGGAGGTCTTCTAGTCCAACCCCCTGCCTAGGCAGGAAACCCTATACCGTTTCAGACANCCACCTCGGCTCAAAATAGAACATTTACCCCCGACTCCAACTCCAACTAATCTCTCCGTTCCAAATCATTGGAACTCACCTTGAAGAAGGAAGTAGACTTTGGATGGCGGTGATAAACACCAAGACAATTAATGCACACACCAAGTTTGACTTGAACACCTCGTCCCTCATTTGGGAGTACTGAAAGAGAAAACAGAAACACAAAAAGGGAATCCAGTGAGTGAAGCTTCTAAATTAACTCTAGAAACAGAGCAAGGAAAGTAGACGAGGCTTCTGAGAAATTAGCAAACCCAGCTCAGTAAAGGAAGCATATTGCTGGCATTAAGTATTCAGCATATTAATAAATGATAATATTTGTAGCTCAGGGTTGGAATGGGAGGGGGGATCTTTCGTGCTCGCTGAGCTTTGTTGTTTTCTTTCAGACATTTCATTACCCAACTGGGTAACATCATCAGTGCTAGCAAGGAGTGGGTTAATTCTCAATGTATATTCTAGCTCAGTTTATATTCTAGTTTATATTCTAGCTACTAGAACAGTGATGGAGAATCTCTTTGGCACTGAGTACCGAAAAGGTCACACAGAAATGTCATGCGTGCACTCGTCGCACCCACACTCTGGAAAAGTTGAACCTCTGTGTTCTAGTGTGCATGCACACCCAACTACTGCACATGTGAAGAGACCGTGATCCAGAAGAGCCGAACTTCTGGGTTCTGGTGCATATGTGCGCTCGACAATCAGCTGGCTGGCATACACGCGTGCACTGGGTTTTGACACTGCTGTGCATGTGAAGGACAGCTGATCATCATGTGTGCCAGAAACAGGCAAGGCCGCACATGCCAGGCAACATGGCTTCATGTGCCACTTTGGGCACACATGCCATAGATTCGCCATCACAGTACTAGAATATAAACTGAGAGCAAGCCCAACTCCTTACTAGCACTGATGATATTACCTAGTTGGGCAATGAAACGTCTGCAAGAAAACAACCAAGCACAGAGAGCACCAAGGACCCACCATTCAATATATTCTTTGACATCCATACAAAGAAATATCCCATCAAAACAAACATGCTTGCAAGACCCATTAAAGAATGGCATGTTCCCCGTCTCCCACAACTCTAGGAAAGCAGTAATTCCACCTTTGTCACCTACTTAGGTGCACATTTTTTTAAAGGATGGGTGGCCCCATTGAAGGAAAATGGTGATCTAGAAATGCAGCCAGATAAGTAGGAAGGAGTGCATCTAATGGGAATATCTTTAGGAGCTTGTTCGGATTCTGCAGTCACATCTTAAATAACAACAACAACAACAACAACAACAACAACAACTCCGCTGTTGCCGGTCCCAAGCCCNGGTTCCAACAATTTTTGAAACCCACCACTGGAGTGGAGCTTCACGTGTGAGCGCAAGCACCCCCCCACACACAGTCAGCCCCATTCGCAGAAGCAGAGGGTGCATGTGTCTGCTGCTCACACAAATGGAGTTGTGCGCATGTGCCTGCCTCTCACACTCCCCCGCTCCTCCCCTGGGATGGGCTGCCAAACTGGAAAGGTTGGGGACTGCCGACATAGCCCACAGCTGCATAATGGATGGAGAAAGAAACAGAGAAGCGAGACTCTCTTTCCCCCAAATTCTCAGACTGCAAAGAAGACAGCGGGAGATTTGTACTTTCAGAACTTGCAAGATTGCGTTAATGTGGTCTTAGAATAAAGTAGAATTAGCTCACGTGGACCTGTCTGGCCTACTTGGGAAGTCTGACAGAATCTAATTTTAGTTCCCCAAAAAGGCCGACTCCCAAGAATTAACGCCCTCTAAGCACCTGACTCCCTTGCATAACTGCGGATCAAACAGGAGCCTGCCCACACATCTGGAGCGGCTGGGAGAGGCTGAAATGCAATCTGTTTGCAGTCGCTTGTTTTCTTGATGTGGAAGCTTTTGTGCGGCGAGCCTTAAGCCAATCTGAGCAGAAAGGAAAGCATTCATTTCCCTATTCACTTCCCTGGGGAAGGGGGAGGTTAGCACATTACATAAATAAGTGTTTACTGTATTGAACCTTGAATGATCCAGGCAGCTGATGCAGAAACTCTCTGCAGGTATGATTATTCAATGTAACAGCAGGAGAGGGGGGGAAACCGGGGTGGTTTGGGGTGGGGGTGGGTCGTGGGGGAGAGAGATCGCAGGCAGCATTAGAGAATTACTCTTGCAAAGAGCAAGTATGCTTTCAGTGCTAAGAACACATGTGCTTACCATTAGGAAGCAGGCGATATCCTTTAACTTATATAGCCTTATCTTACTGTGTTTCCCCGAAAATAAGACAGGGTCTTATTTTCTTTTGGAACCCCCCCCCAAATAAGCACTTGGTCTTATTTTTAGGGATGTCTTATATTTGAGGTACAGGAGGCGGCGAGCATGGTCACTTCATGGCTGCTTCTGTATTGCAATATTTTCAGGGAGGGCTTATTTTTTTGGGAGGGCTTATTTTAGCGCATGCGCTCAAAAGCCCGATTGGGCTTATTATCCGGGGAGGTCTTATTCTTGGGGAAAACAGGGTATATACCTTATAAGAGTTAATATCGTAGGCCTGGAAGGGACCTCGAGAGCTTCTAATTTATTTTATTTATTTATAAAATTGATTTGCCACTCATCTCATATCCAACGACTCTGGGCAGTTTACAACATTAAAAAACAAAACATAATCCAATCCTTTGCCGAGGGCAGAAATCTGGGTATCATCCTGGACAAACTGTGGCCCAACTTTTTAATGGTTCTTAGTTCTCCTATGTCTACAACATGTAGGTGCTTCTAATACAAATAATGAAAAGTAGTTTTGCTTGGAATGACCAAGGAGATCACACCTTTACGTCAAGGGACGTACCATACATAAATGGAGCAAACCCCACTCTCACCAGACTGATGGTATTACCTAGT